TACATATAGATCACAGTACAAACAAAGCCTACAGCAAGTGAGGAAGCGTGGGAACAAGGCCTAACAAAGTGCAGAAACGCTGATGATCACTAGGCGGAAGCGCCTTGGTGAATATATCAGCAGTGTTGGCCCGAGTGGCCACATAAGCAAGACGAAGCTGGCCATGCTGCTGCAGCACTCGAGCAAGGAAGTAACGTAGAGTGATGTGCTTCGTTCTGTGATCCAGTCTGTGCTCCTCACACAAGGCAATGGCAGCCTTGTTGTCGACGTACAGAACTGGAGGAGAACGAGGCCGCTCTCCCAAGTCGGTCAGCAGGTAGGTGAGCCAGCGTAGCTCCTGTGCAGCCATGGCTGTGGCGTAGATCTCGGCCTCACAGCTAGAGCCGAGAATTGAAGACGAACGTGTAGAACGCCAAGAAACTGAACCAGAACCAAGGCTGAAGGTGTAACCCTGTAACGACCGCTGCGTAGCCTGGTCGTCAACCCAAGAGGCGTCCGAGTGACCAGTGAGGACAACGTCACCCCGTCCTCCAAGCACGAGCCCCATGCCCGATGTACTCCACAAGTAGCGTATTACCCTCTTAGCAGCATCCATGTGCACCTTTCGGTGCCGACCAGGAGCCACGTAGTGAGCCAGAAGGCCAAGAGGGTACGCAAGGTCAGGACGAGTGCAGGTCATCAGGTACATGAGGCAGCCCACTAGCTCTGGGTAAGGACCACTCGGCTCTACGGACTCGTCCGAAGGTGGAGCTGAGAGCGAGTGACCTGTAGCCAGAGGAGTGGCCTGTGCTGAGGACCAGGTGAAGCCGAAGCGCTGAAGGACCTGCTGCACCATGTGTGACTGAGTCAGTGTGATGGTGCGGCGTGCTCTATCCCGAGTGATCTGCAAGCCAAGATAGCTGCGCAGCTCACCCAGGTCTGTGCATGTGTGTCTCTTCTGCAGCTCCGACTTCACCAGGGCGAGTGTCAGAATCCCAGTCACTAGACCATTGGGATAGAAGGGCTTGTTAAGTAGCGGGTCAGTGCGCCCATAACCCCCCAGGACAACGAGCCTGTAACCCTTCCCTAGGATCAATCGGGGATCACCAGTGGACCTCTGACACCCCCCCGCACTGGGATGCCCGAAGTGCACACACTGGGATTCGAACCCGAGACCTTCGCTCTGATACCATGTCAGAATCCCAGTCACTAGACCATTGGGATAGAAGGGCTTGTTAAGTAGCGGGTCAGTGCGCCCATAACCCCCCAGGACAACGAGCCTGTAACCCTTCCCTAGGATCAATCGGGGATCACCAGTGGACCTCTGACAGCGAGAGCCTCAGTGTCAGCAGTGGCAAAGACCAAGTCGTCGACGTACACGAGGATGTAGAATGGCGGCAGCGAAGTGTCGGTGCGCAGAAACAGCGACGGGTCAGCAGTCGACGGAGCAAACCCAAGAGCCGCAAGTGTCGTCCTCAGTGTGTCGTGCCATTCACGTGGCGCCTGGCGGAGACCGTAGACCGGCCGCCGGAGGCTCCACTGGGTACCAGGAGGGAACGATCCAGTGAAGTCAGGAGGGCGGCGTAGCCATATCTCCTCGTGCATGCTGCCCTGTAAAAAGGCTGTGCTGAAGTCAAGAGAGTGAAGCTCGTAGTCACGCTGAGCAGCAACGTGTAGTAGCACCCGAAGAGTGGTCATCTTCGGGGTGGGGGATAAGGTCTGGAAGAAATCAACTCCCTCTCACTGACTGAAGCCTCGAGCCACGTAACGAGCCTTGAAGACAGGCGGAGAACCTGGCGGCCGCTTCACCCTGAAAATCCACATGCTACTATCAATGTTCGCCCCAGGAGGGGGAACCTCGTCGACGTAGGTGCCTGTGGACTTCCAGGATGCCATCTCTGCGTCCATGGCTGTCTGCCACTAAGAGGAGTACTCACCCGCGATTGCCTCAGCGTAAGAGCGCGGGGTAGGGATGTCTGGTGCATCCGGGTCTCCCTCAGGTGCAAGCAGCATGGCCACGAGATGAGGCGTAGCGGCTGCAAGACACTCAAGGTCCTCCTGCCTGTCCTCAAGGACGTCAGTGCCAAGAGCACACTCACCGTCGACGGACGGAGGACAGACAGACTCAGACTCAGCAACAAGACTGGGGGCGTAGTCGAGACGACAGGCAGCAGCAAAGTCAACAAGCTCAGCGACTAAGGCAGACGTAGCAGCAGACTCAAACGACGGGTTAGTGACAACAGTGGCAAGCAGACGCGTGATAGTAGAGTGCTCAGCACGAAACTGGTCAGACGCAGGGTCAGCAACGACAGACAGAGAGGACGCAGGGGGAGACGGCAGAGGAACACGCGGCGGAGGAGAGGAAGGACGACGAACTAAAAGGTGAGGGCCGGAGACAGCCGGCTGCCGCTGACGAGGAACACGACGACCGGAACGACCATAATGGACAGGTGAGACAGGACGCGACGCAGGCACACGACGCTCAGCAAGGCCCCCACTCTGCTCTGTGTACGGAGAAGGAGCAGGCAGCGGTGAGCCAAGCTGTAACGGAAGACCAGTAGACGAGGGAAGACTGAGAACCTGGCGAAGTGCAGAGTCAGGTGGTGCGTGAGACGACGGAGACGGCGGAGCGAAGAACAGGCGCGGCTGAGCAGTGCCACCAGCACCAGCAGCTCCAGCACCTCTAGCAGCTCCAGCACCTCCAGCAGCTCCAGCACCTCCAGCAGCTCCAGTACCCTTAGCAGCTCCAGCACCGCCAGTAGCTCCAGGACCCTCAGCAGGTCCAGCACCTCCAGCAGCCCCAGTACCCTCAGCAGCTCAAGCACCTCCAGCAGCTCCAGTTCACTCAGCAGCTCCAGCACCGCTAGTAGCTCCAGGACCCTCAGCAGGTCAAGCACCTCCAGCAGCCCCAGTACCCTCAGCAGCTCCAGCACCGCCAGCACCTCCAGCAGCTCCAGTACCTCCAGCAGCTCCAGCACCCTCTGCAGCTCCAGTACCCTCAGTCATAACACCACCAGCCCCAGCAGCTCCAGTACCCTCAGTACGAACACCTCCGGGACCAGCGACACCAGCAGAAGAACCCCCAGCAGTAGAGCCCTGAGTTGCAGAAGCGCGACGCTGACGGCGACCGTACCAGTCGTGCAGCTGCTGGGAGGTGAGGGGCACACGTGGACGAAGACGGCTACTCCAAGGAGACCGCGTAAAAGCAGTCTCAGAACCCTCAGGCGACTCACCCCCAGACTCAGCACCCCCAGGCTCCGCACACGCAGGCTCAGCACCCCCAGACGCAGCACCTCCAGACGCAGCATCCCTAGACGCAGCACCTCCAGGCTCCTCACGCGCAGGCTCAGCACCTCCAGGCTCCACACGCTCAGCGCCCCCAGACACAGCACCCCCAAGCTCCGCACCCCCAGGGACAGCACCACTCCCAGCAGGACCGGAGTCACCAGTGACCTCGACAGGCGCACGCGCGGGGGGGTCTACCTGAGAGACACCTGAAGGAGCAGGACCTGGCGCGGGGAGGGGGTCTACCCGGGGAGGACCTGGGGCGAGAAAGAGCGGCGGGGGGGGGCGAGGAGCAGTGCGGTAGGGGAAGAGGCGGTAAAAGGGGACCGACTCGTCAAAGGTGACGTCCTGAGACGCAAAGACACGGCGCGAGGCGGGGTCGTAAAACTGCCAGCCAGGCGCGTCAGGGACAAAGCCAAGGAAGACGCAAGGAATGGCGCGAGGAAAGAGCTTGTCCGCGGTGGTATCGCGGACAAAGGCACGAGCACCCCAGACCCGGAAACGCGACGCGTCGCCAACCTTCCCCGTCCACAGCAGTGTGGGCGAGGTCTCCGGCAAGGAGACACGGGGCCAAAGGTTGAGCTGATGCGCGGCGTACCGGACCGCAAACGGCCACAGAAAATGGGGGGCAGCCGCATGGATCATGGAGGTACGAGCGACCTCCATGACTAAGCCAATGCGGCGCTTAGCAACCCCATTCTGCTGCGGAGAGGCCAGAAGCGTGAATGTCTGGCGGATGCCGTGCTCCGCACAGAAGGCTGCCAAGAGGTCTGAGGAGAACTCACCACCTCGGTCAGAGTGCAGACGCAGGACAGGAAAGTCCGACTGGAACCGCTCGCGGAGCTGGAGACGAGTAGCGCGGATCCAGGGGATCAGAACAGCAGGGACATCCCCCTTGCGCCGCAAGGGGAAGACCGTGGTGTAACGCGTGTAGTCGTCAACAACCAGCAGGAAGTAGCGGTCGTGGCCCTGTCCACGGACGCGGGCTGGGCCCCACACGTCCAGGTGGAGAGTCTGCAGTGGAGCCTTTGTGGGAGGGAACGAGGAGGAGTGAGGAGCGGCGCGCTGCCGCCCCTCGACGCAAGGAATGCAGGGCGGCGCAGGCGAGGGAGGGAGGGCAGGCAGAGACCTGGGAAGACCAGAGACCAGGAAGCGAGAGTGCATGCTACGAAGGCGAGGCAGGGAGGGGTGACCAAGGCGGTGGTGCCACAGGAGAGTGTCGTGCGACAGCCGGCGACAGTCACACTGTTTAGCTACCTGAGCAGACGCGTGTAACTGGGGAGACAAAGGGGCGGAGCGCGACGCAGTGGTGAGGGTGTACAGACTGGACCCTGGCGCACGAGTGAACCTTGCTGCCAATATCGCACTAGCTAGCTTGCACGCACCGCGTAACTGTTTGCTTGTTTTCGCTATACCGGTATATGTTCGCTCATGCCTTCACTCACATTTGTACTCGTTTGCCAACTTAGTGCAATCCTCGCTACCTCGATACATTGCACCCGTAACAATGTAGCATAAACCACGTAAGGATTTTTATTTTTATTTTGGCAATAGGTACACTAATTTCCCAAGCCACAAACAATCCTGTGGAATTTTTCAGGCTCCGTGGCAACGAACATACTGTGACCATTACTCTGAAAACGCAGGGCCGAGAAAGCTGCATTTGTTATTGTCAGTTGTGAGGTAGCAGCATTTTTTTTACCTGGGCAAGACCTCTTGCCTGTGCACCCTGTGATCTATCTCGAGGTGGCGAATCCGACGCGCATTGGCTTGCCAAAGTGGAAGATGGAGTGGTACGCCATGAGAAACGTGTCCCCCAATATCCTGGTGCACACACGCGTCCCGTCCCCACAGCAGCCACCCCAGAGCAGAGTACAGAAACACACACAATCAAGAGGGCATGTGAACTCTAGTGCACAAGAGAGTGGGACCACAATAAAATGCAAACGCTACCATATGCAGGAAAAATGAGGTGAATAGAGCAAGTACTCACATGTATTGCACTCTCCTGGCAGCACAACATGCCAACCAGCCCTTCCCCCTCCTCTCTCTCTTCCTTCCCCAGCCTACACACGCACCATGCATGGCCATTGGGCGAAATGGCAAAGTCCATGCCCACGAACGCCGCAAAGCATGCCGTGCCGCCGCTCCTGCCCCCCCCTGAGCGCGGGTCACTGGGCTGTGCGACCTGCAGCACGTACTGGCGCGGTGAGAGTGTGAAGGTGCGCCCCTCTATGGTGAAGGAGAGCGGTGGCAGCGCGGGCACTTGGGTGCACGGCACTGCACACGGCTGCAAGCACACAGGAACGGGGGAAGGGAATGGTGCAGACAGTGGGTTGATGAGTGCGAGTTGGAGCAGAGAGGTTGGAGGGGATAATGCACACATACAGGAAAGAGCGAGGTGGGAGAGGGAGGGGGGAGAGAGAGAGGGAAGAGAGGGGGGGGAGAGAGCAAGAGAGAGGGACGTGGAAAGGGAATGGAAAAGGAGCAGTGCTTACAGGAGAGGAGCACATGGAGATGCCCATCTGAGAGTAGATCTGATGGATGGCTGCCTGCACACCTCAACACAAGGCAAGCACATGAGGACCGTGAAAGGACGAGCGAACTACAAGAGTGAAGGGCACAGTGCAGGCAGGCACGGCAACGGTGAATGCAGTGCAGTGCAGTATAGTGCAGTGCAATGCGGTGCAGGGTGCAGTGCGGGCATCTTACAGTGGGGCCGATGATGAGTGATGTGCCGGTGTCAGGCACTGCGTCACAGCCACTGCTGCACGTGGCTGGCACGCACAAAGGGGGAGAGGGCACAGGGGAGCAGAGGGGCGTGCGTGAGTAAAGATGCCGGGAGGACTTGAAAACGAGGTCTGGAAGAGTTGGATCAGACTGGGCATGCTGAGACAACAGGCACTGCAGGTCCGGCTTGGAGAATGTGCAGGAACAAGGCATTCACGTAGGAGAGAACTTGGACAGTGCGAGGCGGCAAGAGAGTGCCTTACCAATGGTCATCGCTCCCATCTTGACCTTGCCCATCCGAATCTGCTTGCACGTAGTGAGTCAGGAGGCACAGGCAGGGAGTGCAGCGATGAGAATTCTGAACACCCTTCATGTTCCTGCCTATGCTACCGTGCGACAACCACTGCCACCCACAAGGCACAAGGACATGTGCAGGAGAGAAAGAGTCGGTGCATGGGATGGGAGAGTGCTCACATTCCAGTATCTGCCAGAGCCGACGACGCGTGTGAAGGTGTGCGAGCCTGAGAAGCGCGCAGGGTTGATCCCCCCGAACACCACCTCGCCGCCCGCCTTGCTGCCGCCGTTCTGGTTCATCCAGAAGGAGAAGAGCGGCTTCGGCAGCAGCCCCTGCTCCTGCATCGTCTTCCTGGGGGGGCGCAGGGGATGGGGGATTGTGGGATTGTGAGGCATGACGGGTGTGCGTGCACGTGCACATGTGCGCAATCCTTTGTATGTGTGAGTGAGTGAGCAAGTGTGTGTATGTGTTTGTTGTGTGCGTGTTCCATGCTTGCGCTGTGTTCATGCGTGCACGTGAGTGAAGGTGTGTGTGCGCACATATGCATGTGTGCATGTGTGCATGTGTGCATATACGTGCATGGGTTCACACATGAGTGCGTGCACGCACGTGTGGATTCACACGTGCATGCTCACCACAGGGGGTTGGTGCGGTGCTTGGCGGCTTTGATGGGACCCAGCCCCACAATGCCATCGAACCGTGATCCCAGGTTCGCCGACCCCGGCAGCCACGTCGCCTCTGTGATGGCCTGCGCGGACCCCAGCGGGGGTGGGGGGGAGGACGGGGGAAGGGGTAGGGGAAAGGGGAGGGACGGTGAGGCGGACACACAGGTCAGGGGGAAGAGGCTGGCTAGCGGTGGAGGCTGCACTGCTGGGGGCAAGCGGAAGGGCGCAGCTAGGGTGTGCATGACAAGGTGGGTTTGAGGGAGGGAAGCCTGGATGGTGAGGAGGTGGGAGGAGAGAATGGAGAAGAGAGAACGGAGAAGACAAGAGCTGCTTGAGCCAGGCGGGCGAGCTGCCTCGCTGCGAGGCAACGCGGTGAGGAGATCTGGGAGGTCGACCTGCGTTCTAAGGGCTGCAGTGTGCACAGGGTACTTTCGCGCCATCAACCCCAGGATTCATTCAATTTCCTGGCCCCCACGCCCCTCCTCCCATCTGAGCTCCCCGCACGCTCATCCCTCATCCCCTTCCCTCCTCTCGCCTCCGCTCACTCATATGCACGCACATGCTCCCGCGCGCATGCCTTCGCGCACATGTTGTTATCATGGCTATTTTACAAGATACTATTCAAGACCAGAATGTGACCCTCTGCACATGCCCCCCCGCACATGCCCCCCCGCACATCTCCCCGCGCACACCCCCCCCCGTACACATCCCCCTGTGCGCATTCCCCCGCACATGCCCCGCGCACCTGGTTGGCGACTTTGATGCGGCCGACAGTGACGGTGTCCGTGCCCTGCGCGCCCTTCACCTTGCCCGAAAGATACGTTATGTACACCGTGCGCCCTGCCACGCGCACGCGCACCACACACGAGAGAGGACGGGGAGGGCTGAAGTCACGGGACAGTGCAGCGTGCAGCGTGCGCCGCGGCGACGGCAAGTGCGCGGCACTGCGATGGGTTCGGATGCGCTTGACGCATCCAATGCGCTGTGCTGCGTGCATGGTGGCAGTGCAGCGTATGGCCTCTCAGAACTCCTGCACGCATGGCCTGTGCAGCGCAAGTGCGTGTGGGTAGCATTTGTGTGCGCGCGGGAGGGCTCACCAGTGGTTTTGAAGGTCTTGGACTTGGAGCTGTTGAAGCGGTTGTGCGTGTAGCACGCTATCTGATGCCGCGCACAGGGGGCAACGGCAGGGCGCAGCGAGGGACGCGGGAAGTGGCATGCAAGTAGAGGACGGGTGGTGTGAGGACGGGCGGTCATGGGCATGCGATGGTATACGGTGGCAACGAAAACAGGATTCGTCAAGTGGAGTGGGAGAGTGAGGCGGGGGGGAGGGGATGAATGGATGGAACAGAGGGGAACGGGGTGCGGGGCGCGCGGGCGCGGGGGCGGGGGTAAGGGGGAGGGGGAGAGTGGGGGAGGGCGCGCGACGTACGTTGGTGCGGCAGGTACTGGAGGGCACCCAGGTGTCGGAGGAGCCGGTATCGAAGAGCATGGAGAAGCGCTGCGGCGGGCTGCCGATGCTGACGGTGCCGAAAAACTGCATGTTGAGGTAGTTGCTCAGCCGTACCGCCGTCGACGACGGCACCGCCAGACTGTCGCCGCGCACGGGACGACGAGGGGGTTTGGGGAGAGGGGGTGGCCGGGGGGTAGGAGGTAGGAAGGGGGAGTGTTTGAAGAGGGTTAGGGAGCAGCGGGATGCGGCGGACGGCGACGATGGCGCGTGGTGGATAACGAGGGTATATGAAGGGCCGGGAGTGGCACGAGAGGCGGCAGTGGGAAAAGGTTCTTCGCCGACTCACAGGTCAGCCATTTCCTCGGGTCTTGTCGCATTCGCCATCCCGCTTATATCGAATTGCACGGCTCGTTGTCTCGCCCACGCGCCCATACCGCGTACGTCCGCCTCGGTGACCTCCCTCTTCTGCAGGGAGATGCTCTGCACCGCGTCGACCGACGGCGGGGACCGCGCCGCCGATGCTGGGGCTACCATGCATGTGATAAAGACCACTGTGACTGTAACGAGGGCTTGAACTAGGAGAGACGTGATTCCAGTCGTGTACGTCAGTGAGCGAAGCGGCTTGCTCGCACAGCATCGAATTCGTCTTTCGCGAGACCATTGGGCGGAACGGACCACGTTTTCTGGCTGTCTGCGGCAAACGGACAACGCTGTCGCAAAGCTACTACCCGTTTCTGTCCCGCTCTCTGGCCGCGCTATCCTCATGGTCGCCGTTTCTCTCCCGGTCTCTCACCTCCGCTGCTCCAGAAAGGTCTTCTGAGTTTTCTGGGGCTAAACTAATACCGTGCTTCCGTGCGAGCGCGAAGAGAGGGGTTTCTGTGTGCGGAGAACGAGAGTGCGGCTGAGATAAGCGGTGCGATGCGAGGGGCAATGGAGCTGGGTCGTCAGCAGCTCGCACGACGCTCGTGCTTTACGAGGAGGGAAATCGTGCGGCATGCAGGGACGTCCGGTCAGATGGAAATCGCGCGTCGGTACCGTGGCGTCGTTAAGAGGGACATGGGAGGAGCTAAGTAGACGGGTGATGATCAGTGGGCTACGATGCAACGGTGTTGTGAGGTGGCGGAGGCCATGAGATGAGGTTGATTGCTTCTGCACCAGCGTGACAGCCTTGGCGCAGGAACAAGGCGGTCGGCTGGTCGGCAAGGTAAAGCGAGTCGAGGCAGGCGAGTATTGCGGGTCGAAAGGTAGTGTGAATCTCCCAGGCGAGGTGATGGAGATTGAAGATTGGGATCAACGGGGGGAGAGGGAATGAGTGGTCCACGATGTCGTTGGCGATGCTCGGAAAAATGGTCAATTCGTACAAATCTGCGGAACAAAAAAGGCCTTGATTCCGCATCGCGCCCAAATTTGGGGGGACGGTGTACCTTCGTCTCAACCATGGGAAGAACTTGGGGAAATTGTGTGGGAGGGGGGGTGCGAAGATGTACTACCGCGCATGCAACAAAGCAACGACTGGTTTTTGTGACCGATGGGCTCCGCTCCAGGGTTCGAATTGTGAAAACCTCCCCTTTGTTAGCTGAAAGTTTACGGTCGGGGTCACTTTACTAACCGAGGCGCACAACATGCGCGTCGCTAATTCGTTTTAGATTTTCCAAGGGTGGCATGCGTTTCCCGCCAATGAATGTTCTCAATTTACGTTACGGCTTACCTCCATAAATGCTATGCGTTCTAAAGAATCCTAAACAAAACGCAATCTTGAACACCCTA